TCCCGTTCTACATCACAAGGTAACCACTTCACCCACATCCGCGGTGTTTCAGAGGCAAAACAACTAAAATATGTTTCCAAGCTCCGGTTTACCACCTCTGTTTGTCCATTTGTCTATGGATGGTAGACAGTACTTCTCTTGAGAATCGTGCCCTGCATTCTGAAAAGCTCCTTCCAAAACTGGCTAAGGAACACTTTATCTCTGTCAAACACAATCGACTCAGGAACCCCATGTAATCTCACCACTTTCCTGATAAATGTTGTCGCTGCTGATACTGCGGTGTAAGGATGTCGTAAGAGAATAAAATGAGCATACTTGCTAAGTCGGTCCACCACTAAAAAAATGACTGTGAATCCCTCTGAGCGGGGGAGGTCGTTAATGAAGTCCATAGACGCTTCCTCCCACACTTTGTTTGGAAGTGATAATGGTTGAAGTAGCCCTCCTGGTGCCATCGTCATATATTTATTTCTTTGGTGCCACCATCTCTTCAACATCTTTATACATCCCCTTTCAGTAAAGCTCCGCTGTCATCCTTCTGTATGTCTTATGTACCCCTGAATGCCCCCAACAGCATTGCCGTGAAATTCCTGTAGTAAGTGGGGAATGTGTTCTGATGTTTGCGGCACCACGAACCTCCCCTGATGTAACAACTTCTCCCCCTCCAAATAGTACCCCGAATGGCTACTACTATCCTTCCCCAAGTCTTCCATGATCTTCTTCAGCTCCTCGCTCTACAGGCTTTCTTCTTTGATGGCCCCCCAGTTAACCATCAGTGGTATTGAGACTGCCAACTCCTGAAGTTCCCCAACACATCTGGATAAGGCGTCAACCGCCTTATTCCCCCCCCCTGGTCGATATTGGATCTCAAAGTCATAGCCCAAAAGCTTTGACAGCTACCTCTGATGTTCCTCGGTCACCATCCGTTGTTCCAGCAAGTATTTTAAACTCCTCTAGTCCGTACGAACAATGAAGTGCATTCCCAAAAGATAAGGGCGCCATTTTTTGAATGGCTAAGACGATGGCCATCAGTTCTCTCTCATATACTGACTACAATCGAGCCCTGGTCGATAGCACCTGACTGAAATAGGCTACAAGTCTGTGATCCTGCATCAACACTGCTCCCAAGCCATACCCTGATGCATCAGTCTCCACTATAAAAGTCTGGCTGAAATATGGAAGAACTAACACTGGAACCGTCGTCATGGCTTATTTTAATATCTCAAAAGCCTGGGTTGTCGCCTCTCCCCACAAAAAATTGTCCTTCTTCAGTTGCTCAGTCAAAGGCCACGTGATGGTACTATATCCCTTTACAAATCTCCTATAGTAATCGTTCAGACCTAGGAAACCCCTCAACTCCCTTATGTTCCTAGGCTTTGGCCAGATTTTCTTTGCCTCAATCTTGGACTGGTCGGCTGCCACTCCCTCTTGAGACACCACATGTCCCAAATATTCCACCCTAAACTGGGCGAAACTGCACTTCTTTAGGTTAGCTTTCAGCTGATGTTCCTTTAGGATCTTAAGAACCTCCTTCAAATGCTTCAAGTGCTCCTCCTCCGTTTGGTTGTACACCAAAATGTCATCAAAAAAGACCAGCACAAATTTCCTGAGATGCTACCGGAACACTCTGTTCATCCAAGACTGAAAAGTAGCAGGGACGTTAGTGAGCCTAAAAGGCATCACCACGAACTCGTAATGCCAATCCTGAGTCCTGAAGGCCGTCTTCTGAATATCCTCCTCCTTCATTCTGATTTGGTGGTAGCCTAACTTCAGATCCATCTTAGAAAACACTAATGCTCTGTGCAACTCATCTAGTAACTCGTCAATCACCGGAATAGGGAACTTATCCGGTACTATCTCCTTATTCAAAGCCCTGTAATCCACGCAAAACCTCCAACTCTCATCCTTCTTTTTGACTAGTAGAATGGGGCTAGAGAAAGGAATCACGCTAGGTCTAACTATTCCTGCCTCCAACATCTCCCTGATCAGCTTCTCGATTTCATCTTTTTAAATCTAGGGGTAGCGGTAAGTTGAACACTAATTGGTGACATCCCATCCTTCAGAACGATTGCATGCTTTTGCTCTCTAGGTGGTGGTAAGCCCTGAGGTGGATGGAACACCTCCCTAAATTGCTGCATGAGCGGTTGCACCACCGGTGGAATATCTCTCTCATCCCCCACACTAACCCTATCCTAGCGCTGCAGCTCCACCAGATATCCACCTCCCACCTCCTATATGGATCTAATCATGGATTTGAGAAATACCCCAGCCTTGGTCAGCCCAGCATCACCCTGAATCGTCCTCCTTCCATCACTAATTTCATCCTCAATGTCTCCCAATTGATCTTGGTCTCCCCCAATGTTTGCAGTCACTTCATCCCTAGGATGACGTCAATACTCTCCAATTCCAAGGGAAGGAAGTCCTCCCTCACCTGGATCCCCTAAATCTTCAGCACTACCCCTCTACAAACTCCTCTACCCATTTCAACCTTTCTCGTGCCCATCATCACCCCATAGCCTCCCGTATCCACTAACTCCATCCCCAACAGCTCAACGATCTGTGTGGAAATGAAATTGTGGGTTGCCCCACTGTCACCTCACGGTCAGCTATCTCTCCTTTCACTTTAATAGTGTGACTCGGAGTGAATCCTACTACAGAGTTCATAGAGACTTCTGTCGTATACAGGTGCAACTTCTCCTCCTCCTCTTCAGATCTACTCCCACCTCCCTCCTCGTCTTCCTCGTCTTCACAGACAAGGAGAACCTGAAGAGTTCGGTCCTTGCACATATACCCCGACATGTACTTCTCATCACATCTGAAACACAACCTCTTTTTCATCTTATCCTGCATCGCCTTCTCTATCAGCTTTTTGAATTGTCCCCCATTTCCCCCTTCAGTTTTCTCCTTTGGCACTTCCTTCAGACTCCCTGGCGCTGCCCCTTTTGATGGTAAGAAGGTGGTAGCCATCTTATATGATCCCCCTGAATAGTTCCATCGGGCTCCTCTTTCTGAGTTCTTTTGATCTTCTACCAACTACGTCAGCTCCATAGCCTTCCCTAGGTTCCTCGGCTCCAGCACCCTGACTGCCATTCGGTTTAAGCCGCTTCATGAAGTTCCCTTCTAAGGTTAACTCTGAAATATGATCCAATCTGCTAGCCAAGTACTCAAACATGTCCGGGTAATATGCCACAGTCCCCTCCTGAGTCAAGACAAAGAATTGCTCATAGAAGTCTCCTCCCCCATCGGCTTGGAAACGCTCTAATAAGCAATCTTTGAACTCTCTCTAGTTCCGGATGGCCTCATTCCAGTCACGCCACTGATATCATGCCAAGGATTTTCCTTCCAAACACAATCCCACTGCCGTCAGTTTCTTTTTCTCTGTCAACCCGTTGACAGTAAAGTAACACTCTACCTTGTAGATCCAGTCATGGTCGTCTTCACCCTCAAAGACGAGCATCTTCAGCTTCCTCACCCATGGGTCTCCCCCGTGTCCCCTGAATCCTCCATAACCTCTCATTCCTCAAAAAGGTGGTGCTCCCCAAATGTCACGATCTTCCCTCCGGTGATTATACCCAAACCCTTCATCGTATTCCCTTATTCTCCCTTCAAAATTGGCACATCGGCGATGAAATTCTTCCCTTCTCCCGATGAAATCAGCCCCCCTCCGATCATTTCCCAAACTCATCTCCTCTCTAGAGAGTGGCTCTAGAGGTGGCATGTTGTCCTCTCCCTCAATGATCTTCACTTCCGGATTTCTCCTCCCCCTAAACGGGTTCGGATTTCCTCCTACGCCATGACCTCTGGTGGTCTCTCTTGCTTTTGATGTCGTATGATTGGTCTTCAACTCCAACTGTTTCTTCAAAATTTCTTCCATCACCGTGAATTTCCCCTCTATCCTTTCATTGTTGGAGGTGATTTGAGTTTGAAAGTCAAAGAACTTTTCCTCCAAATTTGATTTTAGTTGACCGATCTCGCCTTCCAAGACCTTTATCTTCTTCCCGCCATCTCTCTTCCCACGGATCACAAAGATCTTCTTCTGGTTGTCAAAAACCCGTTGAAATTTTCGAATTTCAGCAGCCGAAAGTCCCAAATCAATGCTCTAATACCAATTTGATAGGAAATACTTGAGTTCGCAAGTAACCCTAAGGTAATACTTGAGTTCGCAAGCAACCCTAACCCAAATCGATGATCAAACAGGATAAAAACTGCTGACCACAGCAGGAAAATAGCACAAATTCGGAGAAATCTGATAGAAAACTCAAGTAGAGACTTGTATTCCATTAGAAGATGAAGTAAAATAGCAAAGATACAATTGTTCTTCAATTCGAGAGGAAGAACAACTCTCCAAATCTCCGGCAACGCCAAGAGCCCAAATCAAAAGAACACTAGATCTCAAATCTCATTCAAATTCAAGATGAAAACATAATTCTATCATTACTCCCTAACTAAGGCTAAAGGAGGGATACAAATTCCCTAAACACCCTTCCAATTCAAATTTTCCTTCCAAACAATGTGTTTAACTCATTCATGGGCCCACCAAAGCTTCCGCCCCCCTCTACCTGGTTCCGCCTGGCTTCTGGGCCGCCGAGTGTAGAACAGGACCGGTCCAGCCGGCCCCTCCTGGGCCGACATAACATAAGATTGATCATAAAAATCTAAAGTATGCTCCTAAGAAACTTCCCTCCACCAATTTTTATCCAAATAAACAACAAAGTTGATGATAGTATAAAATTAGTTCAAATTTAATAAGTTGAGGGAATACATTGAAAAAATGAATAATTCTAGGATTGAAATGGAGATGCCTAAAAATTCTATGGACTATTTTGATCATTTATTCTATGTCTCTATGCCAAACATATAATCTACATTCAACGACAATGCAAATCTAGTATCATATTTGACAAATTTTGATGTTTTTCTAGGGGTTAAATTAAGAAAGAAAGAAAACAATAGCAACCTGACATGCATAAAGTCAATAAAGATTGAGTTTTAGTAAAACTTACTAATAAACATTTTGGATCAGGATGGAAAGCGATGCATGTCACAACCCCTGTGTGACCTCTAAAGAGGTGTGTGCAAAATCCACCATCAACATCCCAAACACGCACGGTTGTATCTGCACCAGCAGTCGCAAGCAAGCCTCCAGATGAATGACAAGACATACTTGTCACTGGGCCATCATGACCCTATCATCAAAGAAATGGAAAAATACACCAATTAAGTTTAAAAAGTTAGGCAAATAAAGATGTTGGATAATTAATTATACTTCTATCTCAAAAGAAGCAATAGTTCAAAATGTTCTTTAAAATAACAAAAAGCACGCAATTTGTGCCTTGATTACAATAAGATCTCATGATGGGAAATTCAATTTCCATAAATATATCGACTTTGAGAAAACATCATAACGTTTGGGATGAATATCATGACATCATAGCAAAACGCATACAACAATACAACATATGTGAACCCTTGATGGTAACTGAATTAATTACAAAAGCATAATCCAATTGAAGTATGATGGATGCAGTAAAAACAAATTAAGAAATTACTTTAGCAGTCCCATAGCATATGACAATAGCTCATTACAGTTAATGCTCATTTTGTCATGTGAACGCTGTTTTAGTATCTCTAAGATTCCTTTAAGTAGACTGCGATTCACAAGCAAACCATTAATATTAATTTAGTTTCTTCGTCCACTTATTCTTTCTAACATGATCATCTTATCCAAGACTATTATATCGCAAAACAATACCATGCGCGATATGGCTAAATTTTACGGTAAAAACCATTTACGCGGGTACATTCTTGTTTGAAAATATATAGAAATGCAAAAAATATGAGAAAAAAAGGGTCCTTAACCTGAAGCCTAAGTGATGCGCATTAGTAAAATAACACAACTTTTACATCAGAACAAAGTCGTATTTCCATCGACCATTTTAACCAACCTTTTTTTTTTAACCAACCTACTTAGAACTGATATCCACTCGCCTCCTAGACTCCCACAATAACATTTCTAGTAAAAAAGGAGCATCTATGTCACAACTATTTTCTATTGACATTACCTTCCATGACCGTATGCATTTGAAAGAAGAGAGGTCCCACACGCGGATCAATCGACTGTGACTCGCAGAGAAGAGGAACCGATCGTTAGGGCTAAAGGTTAGAGCAGTGACTTCCTCTCCATCGCCCTCGAGAATCTCCCGCACAACAGAATTCGATGTTTCGACGATCTTGATCTCATCGTTACAGGCACAGGCAATGAAGGAGCCGTCGGAAGAGACGGCGTAGGCGCCTCCACTGTAGAATTTCTGCAGGAACCGTGAGCACCGGTAATTCTTCTTCAGGGTTACGGTTGGTGGCGCCGCCATTGCGTATAGTTGTATTAGGTGCTGTTCGGATACAGGATTTATGCTGGATTTGAGCACTATTTAAGCTAAATCCTGCCAAACAGGTTTTAGGGAGCTGTTAAATCTCACAGCAAGTTAAATCGTCTGTTTCCCTCTTTTTGCCGTACATCCCGGATTTACTAAACCCGGGAGTTCGGCGGGTTTACGAGATTTAGCCGAAGAAGGTGCGAAAGGAAGAAATATCTCTACCTTCACAACGAGCAAGCTCCCGTTGTCTTTGTTCCTTCCTATCCAACAGAAGAACGGCGAGGAGGTGTGACTTCTGAACCGACAAGAAGGTCGAAGGAGGCGATGAAGTTCTTTAGCGACTCGTTCGAAACTATCTCTCACGACGGGAAGCTGCCCTTTTTCCCTAATATTTCCTTAAAGGCTCTAAGGGTAAAAGGGGAAACTTAGCAAAAATTTTACTTAAACCTTCTTCGGCAATTTATATCTCCAAAACCAAGTGAAATTAAATATAAGTTCTTTATATCGTTTCGCTCGAAATTTCAAGACGAATCTAACGAAATTTATTTCGTAAATTTCTGACGACATCGAAATTTCATTTAAGTTCGTCGCGGCGCATCGATATGCGTGCGACACACTCAAATGACGAATTTCGGGCTTTACACTGGTTATAGCCGATCTAGCTCAGCTTTGTCTAAAATTTATACTACCATTATAAAAGTGATTTGAGTTTCCACCCATATTTGATCCTGGCCCTTTCAATTTATTTCTTCAAATATTATCTGTCTACTACAATTAGAGGTATGTGAAATGTTGACCATGCTGAACTCCAAAATTATTTTCGATTCTAGCATCCATAATCTTTTTTCTTTTTTTTTAACCCAAAAAGGCCTCCATGTTAATCAAGAAAATGATACAAGTCCATAACAAACATAGGGCTTGCTAATGCTACCAAGAGTAACAATATAGGAGGAAAGAGAATCATAATGAGTCGAAAAACCAAACAACATAACAAAGTGTAAATTAAAAAACAAAAGAAGCATATGTAAAGATTGGAACTCAAGGAGGCCACGCACACCCAACCCCAAGCGTTGCAAACCATGAGCAACAAGCCACAAATCTCAAACCGCAAAATGACCACCAATGTTGCCAACAAGCAAGGCCCAATAGGTAGCACACCGAAGCCTCGTCGTTATTGCCTAGAATAAACCACAACCAATAGAAAACAATCAATAAAGCAGACCACAAGCAATAAAAAAGAGGACACAATTGACAAAGAAGAAGAAACAACAACTAATCTGAATCCATATGGGAAATTCATTTCTCCTTCGATTTATATTTTTCTACTTACTTTTTTAAAAGGAAAATCAGCTTCAGCAATTAGAAGAATGCTCATATCAAAATTATCCCTATAGTCTAAAGAATTATCATCAAATTCCTCCCAGTAGTTGAGGAAAAGTCATCATTCAACCAATCACCATGCATGACCTCATAATCCCTCACATTACAAGTTAGATGAGCTAGCAAAGCATCATTAGAAAAAAAACTGATATGGGAACATCAACCATTCCCAAATTTTCCACAATATATGATCATCACCCTTAAAAATAGAATCACTAGCGCCCTCACAACAATTAAGAGTCAAAATTCCACCCACAAATGGATCACATTCACGGTCTCCAGGGTCCAGAGGAACATAATCATCAGAAAATTCATTTTTCACCATCACTAACATCAACATTAGAATATGGGGATATGATAAGACTAGTTACCAAATTTAGTAAGCAAGCGTTAGGCTCACAAGCCTCAACAACATCCTTATTAATACCGCTGGAAGGAGCATCACAAGCATCAACCCCATCCTCATAATTACCACATGAAGGTGATATCGACACATCAATAAACAACGGCACATCAATCTCATTTACAGCTTTATTAGGAGGATCAAACACATCAATCATCATAACCAAAGCATCAGCTTCCGGAGCCACTGAAGCAACGGGAGACCCACCATCAGAAATAACCAAGGGAGACCAATGGAGTAAACAACAACCCCAACTGCCTCCACACCATTACTCGCAATCAAGCTGTATCACCAATCTTGTTCTACATATAGTAAAGGATCATAGACCATATCATTCAAGAATTTGATTAGCAAATATGGTATACCACCCCTCAGGGATCCAAAATAATTCAAAGTGATTGTGTATATATTTTTATTTTTTTATAATTTTAGTGTTTAATGAATTTAGTGGTCTTTTTAGCATAAGAGTTGGCCTAAATATGATTTGAGTTGGGGCTTATATCTATTAAATGCTCAAATATAAATGAGATTTGATTAGAAGCATATTCATTGCTTTATTTATGAGTTGCTTAAAAAAATTGGGTTTACAACATTGCCCTAAACATAAGGTAGCCCAATATATTGAAGAGATAATGAGGCTTACATCTTTTATAATGTCTGAAATTAAGTTGCATCATATTATATATATATATATATATATATGCCAAATGTGGGAGTACATCATTTCAAGCAAAATAATTAAATACATGTAGGCATGATATTAATGTGATCAAGCAAACTTCAAAAAAAATTTCTAATAAGTTTTAAGTTTTGATTATCGATATATCATAAAAAATTATCTTAATTAGGCACGAATCTCGAGGCAAGATCAAGTTAGAAACTTTCAAATTAAATCTAGGGCCATCCGAACTCTAATAAGCAAACCTATAATCGAATTGAACGTCTCAAAATGACGAACCCAACGACACCAAATTCAACTCAATCCGAGCCAAAATGGGCCCAAATCAAAGACTCAAAGAGTATTTGGAAGGTTCAAACCATAATTTGGATTACCAAACGATTTCTAAATGTGATTTTCTTCTAGTTGAATAGAGCGGCTCGATGAGACGAATCCAACGAGCCCAAAATTGCAAAAATTTGATTTTATTAAGACATTTAAATGTCCAATAAATGATTCCCAGTCAAAGGGATCCATCGACAGTTCTTTCAAATTACTCCCAACATACCCTTGATCTACCTCCTATTTATTGTCCATATCACTCCCAAAAAATATAAATCCTCATTCTTCATTAAGGGGGATCTCAAGCAATGAAGAAAATGGAGAAAAGGAAGAAGGAGAAACCAAAAATTTCTTGCCACATGACTCCTTTTTCAACTATTGCTCGACCACCAACTGTTTTTGGATTATCACTAGAGTTCTGCCTGGCCACTGACTAATGCCGGACGTCCGCTAGACCACCAACTGTCGCTAGACTACCTCCCTGTTGCCAACTAACACTAGATTTCCATCTGAACATCGAATGTCGCCGGATTTTTGTTTGATCTCTGTTCGTCACTAGATTTCAACTTGACTGTTGATTGTTGTAATATGATCGTCCTCAATTTATAGAACAAAATTGTCATTTGTAATCCATTCAAACACCAGTGAAATCATTTCAACTCGGAGTGACCCTATGATTTTTCCCTTCAGGGATCTCTACGTAAAAAATTATGATGTTTTTTTTCTTTATTTGTGTGCTAGATATTCGTGCAATGCTAAGATGTGACGTTTTTCGTACTTTACCTTTATGAATACTCTAGCCGCAACAAATCTTAATTGTACAATATGATCCATTCAATATATATATATATATATATATTATTGTGACCAAGCATTCATAATTAGTTTTCTTTATCACTCATTCAATTGCATTAATTATTCATTTATTTAGTGAATTATTGCTATTATGAATTGATTAAAATAAAAAAGAAATTATTTACTAAATTATGAGATGACCCCACATGATGCCTATTATTTTTAAATAAAAATAGTGAGATTCAATTGAGTGAATAGTCCACAAAATCCGTTTGAAGATATAAAAAGAATTTGTTTCACTTGAGTTATTAGGCAGGGGAAGCCAACCAAAATGCTCCTAGAGCTGATATTGTTGAGCTATCAGACGGTCAAGTAAAGCGAAGGTCAATTTGTACATGAAACATCTTTATATATAGCCAACATAAATAATATAATAGGAATTATAAGTTCACTATTAAAAGGTAAAATTTACAAAGTACATTGGAAAATTATAATCTAAAATTAATTAGCTGTTAAAAAAAAATACGAACCACCCCCGTGGCGCCAGCTGGCTAAACGACCGCCCCCATCGCTCTCGTCGAGCTCCGCGTGGCGACTGGTTTTCCCCCGCGCATCTCATTCGCTGCACATCCGGTGGGCCCGATATCATAGTTCCCAGTGGGCCATGCTCGCCACCGGTGCATATAAAAGGGCTTGCGGTAAGAAACCGGTGGGTGATCGCATCTCTGCTAAAGTTATATGCATCCTCTTTATTCGTCGTCGGCCTTCGGTGCGTTGATTCTCGTTTTATTCGCTCGGATACGCTGAGCTCGCGAGCGAGAGAGGAAATCCCCAATCTCCTCTTCTCTCTCTATGTTTCTAACCTGGTATACCCTAACTCAAGAATCTGACTCTATATAATTGCCGGTTTGGCGTCGTTAATGACATTCTTCTTGCAGGCTATTGGAGATCGAGGTGGAATTTGCCTGTCTTCTTTGGATCTTGAGCTTTCGATGGCGGAGTCCCGGAGATTTAGCATAGGCTACGCGCTTGCCACCAAGAAGAGGCAAAGCTTCATCCAGCCTTCGCTCGTGAACCTTGCCAGGGAGCGTGGGGTTGATCTCGTACCCATCGATACCGATCGCCCCCTCTTGGTGCAGGGACCTTTCGATTGCGTGATCCATAAACTCTATGGCGATGATTGGCGGGTACAACTTAGGGATTACGCTGAGAAGAATCCTTGTGTTCCCATTATCGACCAGCCGGACGCCATCGAACGGCTCCATAACCGAATCTCGATGCTCCAGGTTGTTTCTGAGCTGGAGATTCCACAGGAGAAGGAGACCTTCGGAATTCCGAGCCAGATCGTTGTCTACGACTCTGTTTCTCTCTCTGATTCAGAAGCCGTGGGTGCCTTGAGGTTTCCTGTCATCGCTAAGCCATTGGTGGCTGATGGTAGCGCCAAATCCCATAAGATGTCTCTGGTGTACAACCGCGAGGGGCTTCTGAAGCTGAAGCCGCCTCTTGTTCTTCAGGAATTTGTGAACCACGGCGGGGTCATCTTCAAAGTTTACGTAGTCGGAGATTATGTTACGTGCGTGAAGCGGAAGTCTCTTCCGGATGTTTCTTTGGAGAAGTTGGATAGCGCTGAGGGTTCACTGTCATTTTCTCAGGTATCGAACCTGACGATGCAGGACAGGACCCAGAAGGAATATTATGAAAGCATGCAACTAGATGCTGAGATGCCGCCCCTCAGCTTTCTGACGGGTATTGCAAGAGGTTTGAGGCGGGCGATGAGATTGAATCTTTTCAATTTTGACGTCATAAGAGATTCCAAATCTGGAAACCATTACTTCGTGATTGACATAAACTACTTCCCTGGCTATGCGAAAATGCCATCTTATGAGACAGTCTTGACAGATTTCTTTTGTAAACTCGTTGAGAAGAAGACTAAAGAAGATGATGTTGATTTCTCTGTTGGTGGCCATGACAATGAGGCCAGGCTTAGTAGCAGTAATAATTGAGGAGGCACTGAGGGGACCAAGAACAAGGGTTGAGGTCTGGAGAAAGCCTACAGGCTTCTGCTATGCTTTTTCTCTTAAACTTCGAAGGTATATTTTGCAATATATTGAAGATAAGATGACAAGAATTCTGCATGTTCTTGGAGTTTTCGTTCCTGACTGATTACATAGGTTAGTTGGTATGGTGTTGTTTCCTTCTTGATAACCGCATTTGGTGTCATGAGGAGAAATACACATCCTACCATGCTGATGATAGGTTCTTTTTCCTTGATTTTAGGTTACTTAAATTCTTGGCATGCTTGGCGGATTCAGTCTGTAGGATATGCATTACATGCTTGAAAATGTTCTAATCACTGCCTACATGGCATTTCAAATGCATGTTTTTTTTTTGTTACATTTACAGTTACCGCCAAATCGCATTCAAGGCTAATGGATTGAATCATTTTTTTGTTAATTCTTGCTTTGATGCTCGTCACCATTTTTTTGAAGGCAAACTTTCCCTTGAACATTGAATTCTTGAATTAGTAATAATGAATTTTCTTTTGAATATGTCAATTAATTACTGAAAATTTGACCTTATTCGGTCTTTTCATTCTATTTCATTATTATTATTTGCTGTCCTCATGCTATAGTTCAAATCAATATGTTTTTTTTTTTAATTGTTATTTTTGGATTATTTTGGAGCACTTCTGGCTATATCTAACGTTGCTTATTCTCATGGTTACATCCTTTAAGCTTGCTTGTGAGTTTTAAGGCCCCATAGTTACCAGGGAATGTGGCATATGATGAAAGCTTATTATTACAATCAAATTTTAGATGGAGGTAATCGAAACATTCCAATTCTATCTGTCTGGCTTGCCATTTTTTAAAGTTAGTTTGTATTCTAATATTGAGATGAGTGTTGTAATATAGAAGGATAGATTGAGGATTTATTATAAATTTAGAAACAGATGGATATTATTTATTTGAGACAGGATTGTGGATGATAGATTAAATCTGATCCTACATAGTTTAGAAAAGATTAATGGTGATGATATTGGCTTGTGTTATATAGGGCAGTTGTAAAAGTGGTTTCATTCATATCGAATGCTTGGAAATTTACTATTTTTGTGATGATTTTCTTGCCGAGCTGACATTTTATCCATGCTGTCTCCTCTCATATCTGTTTGTCTCATTTCTTCCATATTCTTTATTGTTTGTTCTTTTTATTTCAAGAAAATTGAAAATAAGCATTTTAATTTGGTTTGCTTCCATTTCTGGGTTATCCGAGCCACTTGCTCATGAGATGTGCGTATTTTTGTTTCTCTCTGAATGATTCATGTATTGATTGATTGAAAGCCCTCCTGTATCTTCAATGGATTTCCTTTATATTTTAAATTGCTATTGTCTTTTTCTATCCATTTATTGCTATCGAGAAGTATAGCATGAAAGCCCTTGAAATAAATTGAAATACATTGTAAATGCAAATGGATAAAAGTTGAGGTTGCTTTTGTTTCAGTATCACATTGAGTTTGGAAACTCAACTGGCATAAAGTCATAAACAGAACTTGTTCTCAAACTATTGGTTCATTTACATGTCTATATTGATGTTGGGCGAGAAATTCCATCCATTCTTCATCATTGTCAGGTTACAACGTGGTTATAAATCACAGGGGCTAAATGTATTACATGATTGATATAAGGTAAGGGTAAGGTGAGTTTGGAGGCGAAGTTATTATTACGTAATTTTGAACGATGATTGACGGAGTAAAAAGAGGTTAGAAAATGCCTGAGGACTTGTTGACCTATTGACCAGTCAATGGTGACTAGGATAGGCCTTGAGGAGGTCAAGCATGCTGTAGAAAACTACCTCAAGGAGTTTAGAGTCAACGGATTGAAGTTTGCATGGGTGTTGGATAGATGTATTGAAGTCTACCCTGGATCGTTCTGTGCGTCAATTTTTAGAAAACAAGCGATATATATATATGCGGAACTATATGAAGTAAAAGTTCAACATTGCTCATATACGTGCTATTCATCCTTTGATGGGTTACTACCTATATATCTTTTAAAATTTCTTGATTGGTTAACAAACATTTATTACCTATACTTTTTTATCTTTATTGTGCTAAATTTTTACCTTTGCTCTCCGATTAAGATTTATAAATTCATTGAGGGGCTTAAAATCTATTGGCAATATTCATCAATTTATAATACAAGAGCAAATGGATTAGCAAAAGCGTTCAACAAAATGCTAGTAACGCTACTCAAGAAAACTTTAACTAAAAATAAAAAAGGAATAGCATATTAAGATGGTAGAAGCATTATGGTTATATCGTACCATATACAAGACACCAATGAAAGCAACTCCTTATGCAACACCAATAAATTGCGGTAAGATAATGTCTTATTACATACATATAGATTCACTTCTTACAACCAAATGTTTATTACTACTTGTAGCTAAACATCATCTAATGCTCATGAAAGAACTACATAAGTATTTGTAATGTGGATATAAACTTGATCCCAAGTTTATGATAAAATAAGGTAGAGAATAAAGGATTGAACTATTGAAATTTTTTATCCAAGAATATTTAGACTTTGACATCATAACGCTAATGACTCATTCGACCAAAATTTAAAAAGCTAAACTTGAATGTTGGATGATGTTAGAGATGAATGTTTTGATAATCTGACATACAGGAAATTGAAGTTGTTGATTTAGGAAAAGGCTATAGTAACCAAAGAATAAGTTTTTATTATATTTATAAGATTTAGAGATTGTGAAGTCACTATCTAATAGCACATTTCGCCAATTACCTCGAATTGAAAGTCAAAATCATGAACATGTCATGGGATAAGCACAGTGTACGAAGAAGATGATGGAAAGCTTGTCGCTTTGATTGATAGAATCCATAATTTGAGTTTGATTGAATGTAGGGGCTAGATTCGAGGAGTTGATTTTACGATTTTCACACTCCCCTTTAAGCTAGGAATATGTGTTGATCATTTCTAGCTTGAAAAGAAAGTTGTCAAATTATTTGATTGATTAAGAGTTCGTAAGAATATTCTGATCTGCATGTTTGGCTGGGCATGATTGGGCTTACAGTGGTAAGTTTAGCATGGTAGAATCTTAGTTCGCATGGTCGGCTAGGCGTAGATGTAGGCTCATGGGATTGACCGAATCACCGAAAATGTACTTTTCTTTAATTTGTTCTTCTAGATTTTAATTCCTTCTTCTTTTATTTTACCTATTGATTAATTCTTCTTGATTCCAACTTGGTGATTGTGGAATCTACTTGCTCATTGTCCATTTGTATAGAGTAGATCAATTAATATTGTAATTGCATAATCATTATTGTCACATTGGATAATCCATTTTGATGTGATGCATGAGTTGAGTTACACAAGATTAATAAAGAAGATTTAACAATAGCTTAAACAATTATAGAATCACACATCAAGTCAAAGTCGGTTACAAGAATTCGTAGTGTTCCGCTTGCTTAGGCAAAGGAATTACAAGGAAATTAACTAAACAATTTAAGTAAATACAAAGGAGAACGTAAAGTTAAAAGCTAGTGATTTGAATCCAAAGATTAATAAGGAGTTGTTCATCTTGAGGCATCTTCTCTCTTTCCTACGGAACTAGGTTGAGCGGCGGAAGATCGTCCACGCTAGGAATGAGGTTGCCACGAGGAGGGAGGAGCCGAGGAACGTCGCTGTGGAGAAGGAACTCGGAGGTAGAGGTGGCACGGGAGGATGACCTTTAATGATCCACGTGTAGTCGGAGAATTGGTTGTCGATGGCGTCCACTAGTGTTGGTAAAATCCGATCCAAGTACTCTTCGACGGCATTGTCGAAGCCAAATCCTACGTCGAAGAAAGGAGATTTTAAGACGTGGATATCTCCGTAGATGTCGTAGAAGAGTCCGTGATCAACGGCGGGGTCCGCCCATACACCATGGATTTGAAGACGAGCAATCACCACAAGCAACCCAAGGGGGGGAAGAGGTGGCTTGGAGAGGATAAGGGGAAGCCGGCGGTAGAGAGGAAGAGAGGGATGGGATTTGCTTTAGAAAACTGAAATTGATTTCAGTTTTAGGGATTTGGGAGGGAAGTTGTTTGAAATTTGATTTCCCAATTAAGAGGCAATTAAAGCATTAATGGAATTTTAACACTTTAATTGGATGGAGCCAAAGGGGGAGCCGGCGGTAGAGAGAGAGGGGGGAGAGGGAGTTTAAAACTGAAATTAGTTTCAGTTTTAGTGCAATTGGAGGGAAAAAGAATTTGAACTTAGTTAGGATTTCAAATAAGATAAAGAATTAATTGCATAATTAATGGGGAGCCCAAAGAGGGGGGGCCGGCGGCATGGCTAGAGAGAGGGAGTTATGGAGAGAGGGAGAGGGGTTTCCAAAATTGAAATGATGACTAGGAAAATTTTAAAATTAAATCCAAATCAATTTTAATTTTAAATTTGGATTCATTCAAAACTTTCCATATATAGAATTTCCAAATTTGGAAAGAATTTGAATTTTGAAATTCAAATTCCAATGGGAAGTAGGGAAGGGAGATGTGGGGAGGTGGTGGAGAGGGAAAA